TGACCCCTTTCCTCCTAAACTTTGTATGCTTAGCTGCAACTGTATTCGGAGGGACAAAATCCAGACTGGAGAACTCTCAATAAAGCTAAAACGAAGATAATAGTAACAATAGTGGCCACAACAAAAATTAAAAGTTAGTAACTTTCACCCACTTAATAGAAATATTTACCTGCGTTCACCTCTATCCATACATACACACTCAGAAAGCAGTGACATCAACGGGCAATTACAGGCCAGTAAATCTTAGCTTCAGAGTGCAAACTGACCTTCACCTGCTGCTCATTCCACTGATTAAATGGACATATTTACCTATGATGCAAGATTGGTCTAAGCTTTGTTTAACCTTCTTTTTTGGGGTACTTATTATCCCATACATCTCAACAGGCTGTGAAAGAGAGTTCTGGGTTAGGCACTGGAGATAAGTGGATGTGAACAGGGAGGTTTTGAAGGAAGGTTTTCAAAAGGGGTTCAACATTTCTTTGTGTGAAACATATTAACATACATACGACACAGTTAGATGATCCGAAGGTACACAAACCAGTTCATCTGCTGAATCTAATCTGAGTTGACTTGATCCTGTCTATTGTCTGCGCCGGATCCTGCCTGGGAATCCCTGTGTAAAACACTCTGAGCTCTTTAGGGGAAGGATGCAATAAATGAGGAGCTATGCAGATGGTGACAGCAGTCACAAAATTTAAAGATGCCTGCTTCTTGGGAGGAAAGCAATGACAAACCTAGACAGCATCTTAAAAAGCAGAGACATCACCTTGCCAACAAAGGTCTGTATAGTTAAAGCTATGGTTTTCCCAGTAGTGATGTATGGAAGTGAGAGCTGGACCATAAAGAAGGCTGATCGCCGAAGAATGGATGCTTTTGAATTATGGTGCTGGAGGAGACTCTTGAGAGTCCCATGGACTGCAAGAAGATCAAACCTATCCATTCTGAAGGAAATCAGCCCTGAGTGCTCACTGGAAGGACAGATTCTGAAGCTGAGGCTCCAATACTTTGGCCACCTCATGAGAAGAGAAGACTCCCTGGAAAAGACCCTGATGTTGGGAAAGATGGAGGGCACAAGGAGAAGGGGACGACAGAGGATGAGATGATTGGACAGTGTTCTCGAAGCTACCAGCATGAGTTTGACCAAACTGTGGGAGGCAGTGGAAAACAGGAGTGCCTGGCGTGCTCTGGTCCATGGGGTCACGAAGAGTCGGACACGACTAAACGACTAAACAACAACAACACATTTTGTCTGCTATTTTAGACACACTTTATCCAAGTATATGGAACCTGTACACATTACTTGGCTGGAGAACTGCAGCTCTACGCCAGCAGAGTGATTCTCCCATCTCTCATTGGGCCGAAACTGACATCCAATCTACACTGGATAGGGAGTTTGGATTGCACCCTGTTACGTTGGGAGCAATCAACTGAATGCATAGAAACGCCAAATGATACACAAATGCCCGACTCATTCTCTCTGCACCAAACATGAATATCAAGCACATTCAGGCGAACAAGCTTAGATGGAAGCCTTCCTGCCATAAGGAACCCTGTAGCATTCGTTACTCAACACTCAGAAGTCAAGCCAGTACACGCAGAGATGTTGGGGTGGGTTTTTTGGGGTGCTCTCCACTCCATTTCTATTTAAGCACACAAGTATTCACCTAAATGCATTAAAATGGCTACCGAATAGTGTGAAATGTGGGAAATGAGTTCAGTCTAGAATTGCACCCACCTTTCTTTAGAAGTGCAACGTCTGATTTATTTTGTCAAAAACTGTTATTCTGTAGAGGATGATTGCAAATGTTTGAAATGCTCTAAGTCTTTTGGAGACGCAGCAGAGGGTGACTAAAATTTCCAGAGTCCATCTGGAAACTTAGCAAGATAAACATATTGTTCATGAAGATTGAACTCGCTCTCCAAATTACCGTTTCTCAGAATACACCATCTCATAAATTAGAAGTCTTCTAAATTGCATGTTGCCCATGTTTCTGTAATGTAGCTTAATTGTGACAAATGTTTTTAATTGTTTTCCAGCAATTGCAAGCATCTCGTTTTTGTGTGTGGAGACATCTCTGTCTGAATTTTTTTAAAGGTAATGTGTGTTAGTGTTAAAAGATTTGTCCTTTCCTTTCATGCCAGGATCTGTCAATCTGCTTCTTGAAAAGGTTACTTGCCTGGTTGCTTGACTAAATTATAAGTTAAAACATCTGTATTCGCTACTTCATGAATGAAGGCTCTAACGCTATGAGCTAATCTATTCCAACTGATTCTTGTCTGGAAAAATAAATTCCTTGTTCGGTGGTGAATGGAAAGAAGAAAAATGGAGAAGGGGAGCATTAACTACTACTTGCTTTATAGCTTTAACAATTTAGCTAATTCTCTTGTTTGGCAGTTGATGGTGGCCAATTAGATTTCAAAAGGCTTCTTGACGTTTCTGCTGTGCTATTCTCCTACAAGTGTGAAGTGAGCTATAACTGCAAAAACTATTTTCTTAGCTGTTGAGCTGGCCTATAATTGTTCTTCCAGATTCCCGGGGGGAATCTAGTGGCTGGGCAGCCCTTTCTCCTGTTTTCCTTCATTAGCATGTGGCTAAAGCTATACACGGCAGACATTTTGATATGGCCCAAACAGTGATCCAATAGGGCTATACTGTTTTATTGCCTTTTGACTTCTTTGGTGGCATGTTGGGGGTAAGGGTGAGAGATATAACTTTGGCAGTCTATCAGAATATAACAATGGGGACATCTCCCCACTTTGTTCCTTTGGAACAGGTTCCTCAGGTTCATGTTGGCCATAGGGCTTTGGATTGACTTGGGTTTCTATGTGAATTGAGTGCTGTAGATCAACTCTCCTTTCACACAAGGACTTTTGACACTGCAAAGGGACTTTCCCTCCCTCTCCTCCCTTTGTGCACCCACAGAACATATTTAGGTGGTACACAGGGCAGAGTGTGCAGGGAAAGGAGAAATAAGAAACTTCTGTTGCTCAACGAAAAGTAATTACCTTAGTGGGACTGTTTTGTTGGGTACTGCCCTAAGTTTGGTTGCTGGAAATTGGTGCTAAAAATGAGTTAGAATGAAATTTTGCATGAATTGCTCAAAATAATACAAGTAATGATAATAAGTAAATAACAATAAGATGATGATCATGCTGACAACTACTGCTACCACTACTACTAAGAATTTGGATTATGTATTGTGAAGTGTGTTTGACTCTGAAGGCAAGTGGAGTCTTGTTAAATTTTAAGGGAAATGAATTAAGTATCAGCTTGCCAAATTCAGTGTTTCACATTTTAAACTGTATCCGTTACTGGTAATGTTGAGGTGAGGGGGATGGCAAATTAGAAGGAAAGGCCCTTCAATATAAACAGCTACTATTCCATTCAACTCTTCACTTCTACCCCCAGTTTTCTATTCAGGCCTGGTTTTGTACTGGTCTGTATTCAGAAGCCAAACCGCTGATCTGTATAGTAGAGAGGGAGGAGAATTCACACTTTACAAAATAATACACAAAACCGAAACACAGTTTTTCTTTGAAATATTCACTTCTCCAAATTTTGGAACAAAGCTCAACTATAAAAAAAAAGTTTAGAAAAAATGCAAATGAAATGTGGTTTGCATGTGGCAAACGTGGATTTGCCCTACATATATCAGGCAGGTAAGTGTATATTCCTCCTGGTGGGGAACACAATTCTTTTAACAGGTAGACAGGATAAACAAACGAAAGGGTTTGCCAGCATGCCACATCTGAGGAAGGCCCAGATCCACTTTGGAATTCCAGAGCACCACTTTCAGCAAGCCCAAATGGTGGGATTCATAATCCAAGAAAAGAGAGATAATGTCTTCCAGATGACAACTTTCTGCATGGCAGTCAGGAGCCTTAAGCAAGAGAGAATTTTTCATTAACATTCAGATTACTTGTCATTTTGATTCACACTCTCTAAGGAAGCTAATTTGGACTGCAGCCAGCCTTACAGTGTGATGACAACACAACATGTTCCCCCACCTCTCCTTCGTTGCTAATGATTCCTTGAATGGCAGCTGTGGTCTCTGAGCTCAGCATGACACGTTTTACCCACCGATGTCAGAGCTGCTGTAGGCTTCGTTCTTGTCCTCTCCTCATCCTGCTGGTCTTGCACTGCCTCCTGATCATGTCTGTGCCTGCACATGCACCAGTCGCATACATATGTTTCGGCTTATCTGTTGTCTGTCATAGTGTAGGGTATGCAGCAAGAGATGACCATTTTCAAAACTACCCATGCTAGCTGTTATGGCCACCAGAATCTGAGGCAAAAGTATGCAAAGCCATTCTCAAACTTTGAATTTTTTATGCACAGTTTTTCAATTGGTATCCTATGACTTCCAAGACAGGCATTTGCTGGAAGTGTTACTAGGGTTAAGGCCTCAAAGCATTCCTCTGGCAGTCTAGCTCAGGCAACCAATGTCTAACCCAGCCCTTTGCCCTTTGCCAACCTGGTGCCCTCCCAGAGAGGCTCCCAGAGAGCCAGTGTGGTGTAGTGGTTAAGAGCAGTAGACTCGTAATCTGGTGAACCCGGTTCGCGTCTCCGCTCCTCCACATGCAGCTGCTGGGTGACCTTGGGCTGGTCACACTTCTTGAAGTCTCTCAGCCTCACTCACCTCACAGAGTGTTTGTTGTGGGGGAGGAAGGGAAAGGAGAATGTTAGCCGCTTTAAGACTCCTTCGGGTAGTGATAAAGCGGGATATCAAATCCAAACTCCTCCCCCCCTATGTTTTCAACTACAACTCCCATCAGCCCCAGTGAGAAATATTCTGAAAGGGGAAGATCAAAAGGCCTTCACTCTTTAGAGGATGACAATTGTGCATGGATTCCATCAGTGTCGTATTGGAGCTTTTCTTATCAGATGTGGAAATGAGTGAAGGCTCTGTATCTTGAAGGAAAGCAAGTTTGGAAAGCCTAACTCAACAGTTCACTCCTCCTTCCAAGCCCATTACAAATTGGGGCCCTGGCCTCTTTGAGGATCAGCCCAGGTAAGGGCCATAACATCTGCCTTACATGCAAAAGAGCCCAGGTTCAATCCCTGGTGTCTCCAGGCAGGCCTGGGAGAGAACCTAGTGGCATAGTGTGTGGGGGCACCACAGGGTGGTTGCCCTGGGCTCAAAATTGTTAGGGATGCAAAATTTCAACACCCGGTGCTGCCTCAGTACAGCTGTGCACTTTTGCTGCTGGGCTCCATTGAAAATGGCTTCTCCGTGTGAACCAGGAACTGACCGCACAGAATGACTCTTCTTTGCTCTGCAGTTGCGATCTCCCAGGTGACACTGATGCCATTGGGCAGTCGAATGTGCACGTGTACTCCATTAGTTTCCCCCCTCCCTCCCAGTCCTTTGCATGGCCCTGGGAGCTAGCAACCCGTGCTATGCCACTGAGAAAACCTTATCTGAAATATGGGGTGCCAGTCAGTGGCAACAATAGTGAATGAGATGTACTAAATACCGTATTTTTCGCTCTATAACACGCACCCGACCATAACACGCACATAGTTTTTAGAGGAGGAAAATCCGTAGGCATGCCACCCGTAGGCATTCCCTCCATAACACTCACAGACATTTCCCCTTACTTTTTAGGAGGGAAAAAGTGAGTGTTATGGTGCAAAAAATACGGTATGTATCGGGATCACCTCTCTGAAAGCCCTTCCCACCACTAGCATGCCCACCATTGACATTGTGTCCCACCACCTAACGAAAGATGTTTAGAGTGATAAAACAGTGTGGGTGGGTGATAACGACTCGACAGTTTAGCAATCCAAGGCAGAAGATAGAGATTGTCTGTGCATCTCCCAGGTAATAGTTTGTGGCTCTTGATGAATCTTGGCTTGCTTCCCTGACTCTCGGTGTGCTATTAATATTTTGAAGTTGGTTTAATTTTGCTGATCCTCTCATGCACCTTTTTTTATGTAAATGCCCATAAGCCTCTTTCTGTGTGAACAAGAATTTTTACATAATAAAAGCACCAGGGTGAATCCGTGGTTACTGGCACAGAGCAGAAAATTCATCCATTTTATATCAGGATTTAATTTGAAAGTCTGGATTACTTAAAATGCATTTTTTCCCTACATCTGACCTACTTTTTAAATCTTTAATATTCCAATTTGATTTCTTCACAACATGGTGCTTGAAGATATGCCCGCTCCAGCCAGCTTCTAACTAGTAACGTAATTCTGTGCTGGGTGGAAGAAAAAGAGAGTTTACAACAGCACATGAGAAAGATCAAGCACTGCAAAATCCCCCAAATACCATTTCAGCACTGATATAAAATTCACATTTTGGCCACAAAAAGCTCTCTGATTTTTGAAGATGATCTCAAGTGGAGACTAGTGAGGGCTAATTAATAACTAGACAACCCCCAGTTTAGTATAGACATTTTTGTTGTTTTTAATAACACCTTTAGCTACTAATGAAATTGGGCCAGAGCTCCAACTTTCCTTTCTAACCTTCCTTCTGACTCAAAACTAAGGAATCTGCCCATACTGAATCAGACCACTGGTCCATCTGGCTCAACCTTTCCCAACCCGACACCCTCCCACTATTTTGGACTACAACAACCAACAGACCCAGCCAGCATGGCCAATGATCAGGGGTTACGGGTGTTGTAATCTGTTCCCAGGCCTCCTTGGAGGTGCCGGGGTTTGAAGTTCTGTATGCAAAGTGTATGCCCTACTGCTGACCTATGACTCTGGCACTAAAGGATAAATAAGACAGTACAATATTCCCGCTATTCCTGACATTTAGGCAGGAGTACGGGTGGCACTGGGGTTAAACCACAGAGCCTAGGACTTGCTGATCAGAAGGTTGGTGGTTCTAATCCCCATGACGGGGTGAGCTCCCGTTGCTTGGACCCAGCTCCTGCCAACCTAGCAGTTCAAAAGCACGTCAAAGTGCAAGTAGATAAATAGGTACCGCTCCGGTGGGAAGGTAAACAGTGTTTCCGTGCACTGCTCTGGTTCGCCAGAAGCGGCTTAGTCCTGCTGGCCACATGACCTGGAAGCTGTACGCCAGCTCCCTTGGCCAATAAAGCGAGATGAGCATCGCAACCTCTCTCTCTCTCTCTCTCTCTCTCTCTCTCTCTCTCTCTGCCTCTCTGCCTCTCTCTCTCTGTCTCACTCACACACACACACACACACACACACACACTAAAGTGGGATGTGTTGAGGAGTCTTCATTTTCTTACCCCTTTCATCTAGTGTTAGGCCACTTTACATGATACGATTTACAGGATGTATGCTACAGATGGATGCTGTAGCTAAATTATAATATTTCACACATGAGGAGACATGATTTTATTTTGTGGACCACCTGGAGAAGTTCGATTAACTTAATATATGCCGCAGCAGCTAAATAATAATTATAATTGTAAAAAAAAATAGAATTGGTCAAGTTCCCTGCCATGTGTATTCTTAGCATCCGTACGATTATAAAGACGATACGGGACCATTTTTAACTTTGCTGGCTTCAGGATATGCAGCGGAGGTCTGCATTCGTTCCTGTGCTAAAAATGTGACATGTGCAGCTGCCTTCTGTCTCCAGTCTATTGAACTGAATGTTGATAATATGAAACATCTCTTTTCTTTTTTTAAAAAAGTCCCTGGCTGTACAACTGTAAGACAGAAGCTCTTGCAATATATTTTGCACATCAGATGAGATCCATTGTTCAGCTGTTGATGTGTATCTGGAGACACGTGGATTACAAGTAATGGAGTTATTTGTTAGGCACATGCCTGGTCATATGAAAGGTGTTGTTTGTTAAGGTTTCTCCACTGGTTCTAGTGGGCTAGAGCAAGCAATAAAAGTGCCTCAGGAAGCTCTCTGTTTGTGTCAGTGTACATGTTCCTGTTCATAAGTTGATATATTTTCAATGGTTTCCCTAAGAATGTAAGTTATAAACTGCACACCTTGGAGCTAAATACAGCTTGGAAAATGATGTTCAGCATACAGCTGCATTGAAGGAGACTTAACAGCACAATCCTAACCATGTCTATTCAGAAGTAAGTCCTCATAACAGGACTTACTCCCAAGTAAGTGGAGTTTTTTGCTCTCAGCATTCTATCTGGGTAGCCATGCCCACTTAAGCTCACCCCATTTGCAAAAAGAAGAAGTTGGGAGTCTGAGTCAGTTCCTTTGTGCAGTGGACTCTGACTTTAAGTTAACAATTTTATTAATTTTTTCACAACGAAGTAAGCTACAGTGGTGCCCCGCAAGACGAATGCCTCGCAAGACGGAAAAACCGCTAGACGAAAGGGTTTTCCGTTTTGGAGTTGCTTCGCAGGACGAATTCCCCTATGGGCTTGCTTCGCAAGACGAAAATGTCTTGCGAGTCTTGAGATTTTTTTTTCACTTCCCCCTTTATCTAAGCTGCTAAGCCTTTAATAGCCTTTTAGCAGCTAATCCGCTAAGCCTTTAAGCCTTTAATAGCCGCTAAACCGCTAATAGCGCTAATCCGTTAAGCCGCTAATAGGGTTGCTTCGCAAGACGAAAAAACCGCTAGACGAAGACACTCGCGGAACGGATTAATTTCGTCTTGCGAGGCACCACTGTATAGGAAAATGACTTTACAGCAGGAGCACCAACTTTTTTGTCTTTCCAAAAATCTAAGAAATTGATGTGTGTGCCACAAAATACCCATTTCACAGAAGGAAATAGGGCAATGCTCAGTTATCCCCATGGGCAAAACACACCCACCTGAAAATGAAGAAAACACAGACAAAAAAAATGCAGGCACCCCCTCTGCCCCCAAACTCTCATTTTAAAAAATTGGCAGGGGACCTTAGTAGTCACCAAAAAGGAGATATTTGAAGGCACAGTGGGTATCCCAGTTCTATAGAGTCTTATTTGGTCCTATTATTATTACAGTAGGTGAAAGCCTTTGTCACACTGAGGGGCTTCAGATTCTGAGCTTTTAACGGAACTGTAAGAGATTCCCTCCCAACCCGCAACCCCAAAAAGGGCACAGGAAGAACCTGGGCTGTGGCTTTGGGCATCTCTGGTCAGTCTGCATGGCTTTGTTTTTTGAGTTGTCTCCGAAGGGCTGGGAAAGCACTTACATAGCAGAGCCTTCCCAGTCCTCTTTGCCCAGCTCTAGCATCAGCTTCTGCCCCTCCCTTTAAAAAGCGACAGTATTTTCAGTGCAGTTCCACGACCAACTAATGTGCATAAAAATGCACGTACTAGGGCAGGGATCTGCAACCCGCGGCTCCAGAGCCGCATGTGGCTCTTTTACACCTTTGCTGCGGCTCCGGGGTGGATACTAGTGAGGGGAGGAGGCGCATTGTGCGCCCCGACACTCCCCACTGTGGCGGGCGCTGTACTGGCTGTGACGTCGCATGGGGCGGTGCGTGCATTAGTCACGCACCGTCCCGACGTCACCTTCCCGCCCGCCTGCCTGCTACATTGTAAGGGGCATGTACGCTGGTCACTGCATCGAAAGAGGGCATGTACGCTGGTCACTGTTTTGAAGGGGAGTGAAGAACACACACACAAAAAAAGGTAACTTGTTAATTTAACGTTTATTTCTATGAGGAGGAGTAATTCTGAGGGGTCAAACAAAGAAATAATAAAAAAGTGACAAAAAAGTTATTTTTATAATGACGAGTTTTGCGGCTCCCAGTTTTTTTTTCTTCGGAAACGCGTCCAAGTGGCTCTTTTTGTCTTAAAGGTTGCAGACCCCTGTACTAGGGTAAAGTGAAGATAACATGCATTGCATTAGGGAATAAAATGCATTGCATTAGGGAAAATTGCTTTGCAAAACTGTGTATACTCAGCAAAATTGCATTCAGAAATGAACATGCTAGTAGAAATACGTACTGAAATGCTGGTGAATTTTCACGAGGACTTTAAAAAAACAAACAAGCCACAGACTGATGCAGAAATATAGAGAACCTAAGGCTGGAAAAATGAGAAAGCAAAACTGATACATTTTCCCATTCCTTGCACACCTGGAAGCTGTAGAATGAGTTTGTGAACCAGGATGTGCAACTTCCAGGCAGTCTGAAGTTCTGGCACTACTCTCTTTTCCTTTTTCAAATTAAGTAGTAGCTACACCCAAATAGCATATATTTGCAAGCTCAAATATCGTACTATTATTCCAGCTATGACATAATGGTGAGCGAAACAAACAGATGGGGGCAGGATGAGATAACAGTAATTTAAGCATGTTTTTCCTTGGCTGTCTCACCCGAGAGACAGGTAATCTCGCTGGGTAAAGTTTAGTCCTAATTAGAGTAATGTCAGCGGAACAGTTATTGTCACAATCAGGGGCACCAGCAGACAGGTGGTGGGAAGGAACATGCTATAAAGGATATGTTTCACATAATAAAGTCCTCTGAGATTAGGATGATCTTGGTGCTCTTTCGAAAATTGTCCTTTTCACTGACAATCAGGTCCCAAACCTCTCTCTCTCTCTCTCTCTCTCTCTCTCTCTCTCTCTCTCTCTCTCTCTCTCCTCCACTCAAAGGCGCAGCATGCAAAATACCTTTGGTACACTTGGGTTTGTGCATAGAACTGTGTTTGCTGATGCTGAGAGAATGTCAAATATAGTCAAAAGGAAGTGAAAAGGAAGCAAATAGATTTTTCTCCCCTGCTGTAGTGGGTCAGCATGGCCATTTGATGGGAAGGGCAAGTCTGTGCATGAAACGGGCAACTCAACTGCTCCAATCCTGGAAAAATGCTTGATGGCATAGACCAATAGATTGGTCGTGATAGATCGCCGTCGATCTCTGGCTCCCTTTCCTTAGCGTCGCTAAAACTGACTCCTGCCCTGCTCCCTCGCCCCACCCTCCATTGTTGTTTGATCTCTGGAAGGGAAGATGGAGCTTTCTCTGTGCTGCTGATTTCATCCATAGCGATCTTTTTGTGATCCATTGTGATCCATCCATAGCAATCTTTTACCCCTATGTCCCTTGCCTTTAACCTCCCCAAAAACAGAAGTCCCCCCCAAAGTTTTTTAACCCCCCAAAATAGGGCCTCAAGCTGAACCCCCCCAAAACGGGGGTAGATCACTGCCAGTTTTTAATTCTGAAAGTAGATCGCAGTCTCTTGAGAGTTGGCCACCCCTGCCACAGACCAAGGGCAGGATTTTTTTTCCAGCCCGAGGGCCACATTTATTTCTGGACAACCTTTTGGGGGCCACATGCCAATAGCAGGCAAGGGCAGAAGGAAAACTGGGAGGGGCAATGAATGTAAAGCTCACCTTTGCACAGTAGGCTAGTTTCTGCACACACTCTCACACTTACCTCTCTCTTCCATCCAGGTAAACAAAATGGATCACAGTGGCGTGGTTAGGGGTGAGCAGGGGACAGATCTCCCCAGGTGACACTTACCTTTGAAGGCGGCACGCTGGAGCCCAAGGTGGCGTGCAAGACCAGGTGCCCCCAGAGCCCAGCATGCCACTCACAAAAGCAACATGGGACTGGGCTCACAGCACACCTGAGCTACTGCGTACCCCCCAGCTGCCCTCTGCCAATTGAGAAGGATGCAACAGGCACACACCGGCCCCACAAGTGGCTCTGGGCTTGCAGGGTGCCTGAGCTGCTGCATCCCTCCCAGCTGCCCCACCTATCTGACTGGGTTGCTTCAGCCACCCTGGGCAGGTTGCAACATGGATAAAAACATAATCAAGCATTAAACATTAAAAAACTTCCCTATACAGGGCTGCCTTCAGATGTCTTCTAAAGGTTGTATAGTTACCTATCTCCTATGCTTCCCACCCTCCAACATTTCTCTGATGGAAATAGGGACGTCCTAAGGGAAAGGAGGATATTCTGGGATCAAATCCCAGTACATTTCTGAGCACAATTCAAAGTGTTGGTGCTGACCTTTAAAGCCCTAAACAGCCTCGGTCCAGTATACCTGAAGGAGCGTCTCCACCCCCATCATTCGTTCCGGACACTGAGGTCCAGCGCTGAGGGCCTCTGGCGGTTCCCTCGCTACGAGAAGCCAAGTTACAGGGAACCAGGCAGAGGGCCTTCTCGGTAGTGGCACCCGCCCTGTGGAACGCCCTCCCACCAGATGTCAAGGAGAACAACAACCACCAAACTTTTAGAAGACATCTGAAGGCAGCCCTGTTTAGGGAAGCTTTTAATGTTTAATAGGTTATTGTATGTTAGTGTTCTGTTGGAAGCTGCCCAGATGGGCGGGGTATAAATAAATTATTATTATTATTATTATTATTATTATTATTATTATTATTTAAATCAGAACCTGGGTCGGCCTCTGTAAATGCAGGAATGTCCCTGGAAAATAGGGACTCCTAGAGGGTCTGAATTAACCATGATGTATATTGCATGAAAGCAATAATTATATTTTTTTTTACCAAAATAAAAATAGCAACAAGGACCCTTGAGCAGGTTGGGACCAGGAAAGTAGGGAGGGGAGTTTAACCATTCTCACACCCCACCATGCTGAGATCCCAATGAAAACTGCATCCCTAGAGCTGCTTTTAGCTTCAAGAGGGAAGCCTCTATTGATTCTAATGCAGACTTCATTCCAAAGTCTTTTTGCAGCTAAGGGTGGGATGAAGGGGTAGGGTTAAATCTCCCCACCTGCTACAGTTCCTCTTCTGTTGTCTGTGTACAACAATGCAATGAATGCCAGGTTAGGTTTGGCCCCCATTGCAGTCACCTGTGCTCCCTGTGTTCCATACAGGACCAGTCCAATACTTTTTGATGCCTGAAGTGAAAGACAAGATGGCTTCTTTCTCCCATTCCCCAATTCCATATGTCAAAGCTGAGCATACTGGCAATTGAATTGCATTTTAACACCAAAATTGGGACACCACACCTGAGGGCAACATGCTAGTATAGTGGGTTTGGTGCACACAGTTTTGTTCTCTGCTATCATTTACTGTTGCTGCCTGCCCCCAACATTTGATGCCTGAGGCAACTGCCTTGCTCTGGCAAATGGTAGGGCCAGCCCTGCTTGGGTGCTTTCTGTCACATTAACCAACCCACAAGCATTGTGAAGTGAGGGCTTCAGCTTTCCTGCTAAACATTTGCAGTTTTCTCCTTTCTTAAAGAAAATAAACTTCCTTGGTACCTGACGCTTCTCTGCACATTGCAAGGCCTGTGTTTTTATTTGGAGGAACACTGAGACTGCCTGGCCACCTGGCAGGCATTTCTTAGTTCATAGGCAGTCAATTAAAGCTGGCACTGAAAGGAGAGTTTTCCAGAGACTCTGAGCACGGTTGTTGTCTGGTCAAAATCAGAAATTCTGCAGATTGCTTAAGCGTGAGATGTTTTCTTAAGGCTGCATCCTTGGACCACAGTTTTGGTGGAAGCTGTAACTTTTTGTTACTAGTCACAGGCTTAGAATCTGTCTCTCTGCAACAACATTGAAAGGAAGCAAGTTGAGGTGAAATGGGGGGGCACTTTCCTGTTTCTTTCTGGGAGGAATACTGGGGGGCGGGGGGAAACACGCAGCAAATTATTTAAACCAATCTGTCATATGTAATATTCCAGGCAGCTAACAGGACTCTTGATGATCTCAATGAACAAGCTGGGTTATAAGGTCTCAAGTTTTTTCAGAGCTTTTTTTGGTAACAACACACGAGCCTTCCCTGTCATCTCAAATAGGTTTTTGTAAATCTTGTTCAAAGAGTTAAACATGAATTTTTCTAAAGCTCCTGACCCTTTTTGACTGTGACTCACCTGTGGTTGTGCTTCAGTTTCTCTGTGGTTGCTTCACAATGCTTTGAACACATTTTATTGGGAGAAATTCCAACCGGACATGTTCTGGAATGCCATTAGCTCACCGTGGTGAATAAGCTTGACAGTCATTCGTTCAGTTTACAGTACGGGAGAGTGATGAGGTTTACCTTCAGCTTCGATGATGAGGTGATATTACAGAGTTCCTGCTCAGCAAACATTTTTGGTGGAAGACTTAAGGAAGGAGTGAAGGGAGATGGACCAAGGCAGGCTATTAGAAAGTACCATGGCCATTGTTGTTCTCTCCACATACCCCTCATACCTCTGGAATGGCAAGTAGGAAAAGGTAGATCTCTGAAAGTATCAAATTTGGCCCAGAATCTACTAACTCCTGATTCATGTCCCATCAGTAACCTCAAACTTAGATGTTAGGGACTGGCAGGGCTCCACAGTGGAAGAGGTAGTGGGGGCAGAGGCTAGTCCAGCAGAAGGGGGTAGCAATTGATGGGGTTTTGTGCCTCCCAAGAGGCAGGAGTGAAAGCTGGAGGATGGGGAGCAGACTGAGATGGGGAAGGAAGGAAGGACATGCGGGGCGCAGAGGGCAATATGGAGCCTGAAGGTGGGGAGTGGCAGAGTCCCTCCTGTCCCCTCCCCCAGTGTCCCCCAGGACTAGGAGGGGCTTGAAGAGGCAGACACAATGGCCACTTCTGGGTCAAAGGAGTCACAGTTTGCTTGCACTCATGCCATCAGGCAAGAATATTTAAGTTTGGGCAGGAGGCATGGCCACCCATTGCTCCAGCAGTCCAGCCCAGAGCATAAGCCCAGGGAGGACCGCCAGTTGCCTAGCCACCAGAAGCATGTGTGTGCATGTTTAGTGCACTTCCAGAGCTAATGTAAGAATGAAACGACCGGCTGTTTGACCTCATTGAGCTGTGTGTGCTCTGGACATTAGAGAGGGTGCCCCTTGTCAGGAGCTCAGCCTACACTTGAGTAGGACTCTGGTAGAGACACATGCCCACCTGGCATGTTCTCTCCCTCCTGTTCAATCGTTCGGGAGCTTCGAAAGCTTTCTTCAGCCCGAACATCACAGCAACTGATGCCAACTGACACCGGCACACTTAGGGGTCTGCAGAGCTTGCGCAGTTTGCATAACAGAACTCAGCAACTCAGCATTTTGGCTAATATACTTTATTTACAGGGACGTTGGTGGTGCTATGGGTTAAACCACAGAGCCTAGGACTTGTCAATCAGAAGGTCGGTGGTTCGAATCCCCGCGACAGGGTGACTTCCCATTGCTCGGTCCCTGCTCCTGCCAACCTAGCAGTTTGAAAACACGTCAAAGTGCAAGTAGATAAATAGGTACCGCTCTGGCGGGAAGGTAAACGGTGTTTCCATGGGCTGCTCTGGTTCGCCAGAAGCGGTTTAGTCATGCTGGCCACATGACCCAGAAGCTGTATGCCGGCTCCCTTGGCCAATAAAGCGAGATGAGCGCTGCAAACCCAGAGTTGGTCACGACTGGACCTAATGGTCAGGGGTCCCTTTACCTTTACCTTGCTTTGTTTACATATAAACACACACAGAGCACTGCAACATGGTTCCCTCTCTCTCTAGCATCAGACACCGAAGAGAAAAAGAACAAAGGACAATAGTCCCACTTCACGGAACACAGTAACAAACATCCTGTCTCCGTCACTTCCCACTTTGTGAGTCAAAACATACACCGTCATGTGAAAGACAAAAATCCCATGACTGCAATCATGGAACAGGAATTCTAACATCCCTTTGGGGAAGCACAAATTTCTGTGAAAGGCCACCGACACAATCTATTATAAGAACATAAGCATGTAAAAAGGCCCATCATGGTCCAACACCTTGTTCCCACTATGGCCTGTAGGAAGGCCGCAAGCAGGACCTGAGCACAGCAGTACTTTCCACCCTTGTGATTCTCAGCAACAGATGCATACTGCCTCCATTAGTGGAGGAAGACCATAGCCATCACTGTGGATAGTACCCTTTCATAGTCTTGCCCTCCATGGATTTGTGTAATTCTGCACAAGTCTCCATGGCGTAAGTGGCAGCTCCGAAAGAGCATATTGGTGCATTCTGTTCCAGTCCATCAGCAAGCATCACATCACACTGTCTTAGCAGATTGTGTCCGCTGTCTGCCAAAAGGGCACGCCGCAATTTGTCTGCATGTCAATATGTGTGTCCCTGATTTTAAATCCCCCCCAACACCAAATAAATAAATAAAATAAAAATGTGCATGTGTGACAATTTGTTGGCATACACAAGAGTCCAACATAGATTTCCGCTTTGGTCATGAATATTCAGTTCTCTTTTCTTTTTAAGAAAATATATGATTTTTTTCTTCTTTGGTTTTTTGTTTTGTTTTGTTAGCACTATAACTATTTGCAGTGTGCTAAAAGGATTAAGTCCAATCCATACATCAGCCTCTCCCCTTGAAATCAAGGGGCTTTCAAGTGCTTAATTTTGATTGCCTCCCATTATCCTCCAGAAGTTGTGTCCATGGTAACAAAATTAATTCCAGTCCACTAACTGTTATTTTTAATGCATTAAAAAAAAAAACACCCTTGGAAAACAAGTATCATTTTGCCATTATCTGGCCTTTATGGAACCCCTCCCCAGTTCACAGTTATGTCTTAGCTTTACATTGAGTAAGTGGTCCATGCAACTGCAGGGCAATGGGATGGTTTCTAATCAAAATACCCCAAGTTGCGACTTGGTCGGTGTCTCCCAGTCTGGCGCTTGGAGAAAAGCAGCAGCAGCAGCCCTTTCAGAAAGAATTACCGCAACAGTTGTACTTCATAGAAGTCCAGCTGGGAGTTAGTTATTTAAGTCTCAGACACAGAATAAAAGATGACACTCAGAGATACATTATTCTGTGAGGTCAAGTATCAGAACATGGTAAGACAGATGACAGGAAAGCTATCAGTCAGGATGGGAAAGTGAATTGCAAGAGCAGGGTAATAAAAGCGCTGGGAAATTGAAAGCACTGAAGAGCTCTTGTACATCAGGCCCCAAGCCTGGCAGTGTTTGTATCAAGTACTCCAACCAGGTTTTGGGGGACTGGGGTATGAGTTCAAAAGAATAGCTTGATTTTCTCATCTTCTTTCCATACAGTATTCCCCCCCTCCACTTAGCATTTATAGAATGCATTTCCACCTGTGCAAAGTGGTTCTCACTCAGACCTCGTGGACTGGTCCTTATTCCACCGTGGTGGTTGCGTTGCAGAAATAAGTGTGAGTGGTCTGCATGTGGGAGTGGCGAAAGGCCAGAGCTCACATGGCCTCATGGTTTCTCTTCTTGTAAAATAAGGAAAGGGAGAGGGCAATGGGTGACGGCACTTTCCTCTCTCTTTGCCATAGCTGTCAACCTTCCCCTTTTTTGCGGGGAATTCTCTTATTCCAGCACCGTTTCCCACTGCTATCCCGGATTGTTAGATATCCTGTAGACTGTCCCCGGGACAGGTGAGGCTGCTGATCCCTTATTTTCAAATCTGAAAGTTGACAGCTATGCTCTTTGCAGATGAGGATTACGAATGTGCATGGCTTCATGGCATGCCTAGCATGTCCGGGATGAGATTTAAACTGCAGCAATCCCAATGCACACTCTTTAAAGCACACTACACAGCACTATGGCACCTGGAAATTTGGCATTACCCCCAAGTGCTGCGCAAGTGATCAAAAGACTGATGTGGGAATTTGGTTAGTGTTTACGACTTTGCTGCTCACCTGCCCCATTGTGTTTGGACAACAGATGCTTTGAGAGCCTTGGTGCTAGAGCAGATTTGGATTACATTTCTCTTCAGGCCCAGCTAGTATGCCATTGAGTTGGATCAAATCACAGTGGGAAGGTGGTTCCTTCTGATGGCCTCAGAAGTGGTGGTGGCCAGATGGAGGGGGGAATGTTCTCAGCTGGAGCAGAATGGAGAGGTGGGGCTAAGTACTGCTTCCCACAGATGCCTTCAGGCATGACAGCTGATAGCAAGAGGGAAGGATATGCATGGAAACACAAGAAGACCATTGGTCCGGCTCAGTATGGTCTCCATTGACTGGCAGTGGCTTTCTGGGGTTTCAGGAAAAGGACGTTTCCAGACAGACCTGGAAGATGTTGGAGATTGATCTTCTGCATGAAAAGCAGAGGTTCTACTACTAAGCTACAATCCTCACCATGAGTCTATGCATGGTGTCCACCCAGTGGGCACATTTCAAATTTTGGGAGAGTGCAAGGGCTGCCAGTCACAAAATGCCATGGAGCATGTGTGATGAAATACAAAATGTTTGCTGTGGAGGCACGGAATAACACAAAATGGGTGCCATGAGGGATGTGGCATAACAGAAAATTAGAAGGGGACACACACACACACACACACACACACACACACACGCAGTCAGCAATCTCCTGCAGGTCCAACACAAACTGCTGGTCTCACTGTCTAATAACGACAGGGACCATTCCTCATTATCAGTAAAAGTATGCAATGCAGCAGCTCCACCACTCTTATTCCTCAGGAATCACTTAAAAGGTACCTGCACGTTTTGTCCCAAAACTGACTTTCTAGCAGGGCTAGAGACATTATTATTTTTTATAAGAAAGCTCATAGTCTGGAGCACCTGCCCAGCAGCACCACTGGAAGTCTTCACAGACATCTGCCCTTAGCCATCTTCTTGACTTGTGGGACTGCCCTAGCTCCCATGCCACCTTTCTGCTTCTATGCTGACTACAGAAAGAAATTTTCTTGCAATGCTCAGACATACATCCACCTTCCTTCCTTCCTTTTCTCTCCTCCTGCCACCTTCCTGGCATAGATGCCAAATGTTAGTTGAAAGAACAGAGGCTAGGAAATAGTCCAGGGGTACACAATAGGGAAATATGAAAGAAATAAGGTTATGGATGCTTCTTTATTTTCAGCACTCTCACAGAATAGTGTGATCTAGAGATACAAATTGCAGGTTTCCAAGGGAGGACTCAGGGTGATAACTCAGAGATAATAACTTCATAATGCAGTAACCGTCTTCCTATCCTTGCCTACCACTTCTGGGAATTTTTTTTAAAAAACACTGTCTCATGGTGAGTC